CAATAGAAATTAGGGTTTTTAGTGAAATTAGGGTTTTTAATTGAAATTAGGGCTTTTTGCATTTAGACCATATTTTCACTCTATTAGATTCGGTTAAGGCTAGATTATATAAAACTGAACTACTCAATCTCCGAGGGACGATATTCGGACTTTTTAAAATCCACTTTATTACTTGTTACGAACTATACACTTGCGATAGTTTTAAATCGAAAGAATTATTTCGTGAACAGAGATAAATTTAACAAAACTCAATGTCCAAGAAATGAGCAAAAAAGGGAATCTATGAAGATGATTCCATATGCTAGTGCTGTGGGAAGCTTGATGTATGCTCAAGTTTGCACTAGACCAGATATAGCCTATGCAGTAAGTGTCCTTAGCAGATTTCAGTCTAATCCAAGACAAGAGTATTGAAAAATAGTTAAGAAAGTTATGAGATATTTGAAGAAAACTGAAGGTTATATGCTTACATTCCAGCATGCAAATCATCTTGAGGTGGTAGGATATTCAGATTCAGATTTTGTTGGATGTCAAGATGATTTGAAATCAACCTCAGGTTATATTTTTACATTAGCTTGTGGTGTCATTTCTTGGAAAAGTGCTAAACAGACTTTAGTGGCATCTTCTACTATGCAAGCTAAATTTGTGGCATGTTATGGGGCTACAGTCCAAGCCGTTTGGTTAAGAAATTTCATCTTTGACTTGAAAGTTGTTGATTTCATCTCAAGACCGATCACCATCTACTGTGATAACAGTGCAGCAGTATTCTTTTCAAAGAATAATAAAAGTTCTGGTGGATCAAAACACATTGACATCAAATATTTGGTTGTTAGAGACAGAGTCAAAGAAGAGAAGACGAAAATAGAGCATATCAATACAATGGCGATGGTTGCAAATCCCTTAACTAAGGGACTCGCCCCAAAAGTCTTTAAAACACATGTCACTAATATGGGCATTGTGGAAACATTTGATTTTTTGGTTAGTGAGTATGTAAATAACTACGTTTTAGGTTTGATCACTTTACAGGGTACGTAGGCAACCCATATGTTTTCGGGTACAGCCCCTTCTGATAATAAAATAATTTTTCCCCTGTCCATGAACTATTTTAAGCATGCATTTGACTTATGTCTTTTTATATTATTGATATCTTGAAATATGACGTATAAAGACATAAGATGAGTCTCTTTTGGGGACATTTGGCTTCATTTTGATTCGAAGCATTATGAGGACCAATATGAGTTAGCACAGTTTTTTATCACATTTGGTGTTAAGTTCATACCACATACTACCACATTGGTTGGAGGATGGGGATCCATGTCAATAAGGATGTTGACGTTTGTAGCTGTGGGATGGTCTTACATCGCTTAATTGGTGTAATGATTTCCATATTCGGTGTTAATATTTTTGTTGGACCGAATCATATTACGTAAAGTGTCATCATTAGAGTTATACTTTGTGGTCACCTATGTAGTCTAATCCGGGTGTTAAAACTTTGTTATGACAATCAAATGCTTGCCCAAGTGGGAGAATGTTGGAATAATTAATGATCCATATGTGGGCTTCACATTCGATTGCAAATTTTACGGGTTAGATGTATGGCTCATAATGATATTGTGTTTGGGCCAAATTTATGAAGTGATCAATTGGGCCTTTTTACAAATTACGGGTTGTAATTAATTTGATGTGGTAATTTAAAGTATGTGGGCCGAAAATAAACCCTAATTAGAATTCTAGTCGTAATGGGACGACTCAAATTATTTCCTATATAAAGGTTAGGTCCCCTCTCCTCTCCAGATGTTTTTATTGGTTTGCCCCATTGATAGCTAATACTTTGTGAGGAGCAAGGAGGGGAAGATCTTGACTGCTATTACAACTATTATTAATATCAACAATGGCTTCCACGGGTATGAATTCGTTTCTATTAATTTATTAGAATTGTGATTATCAATTCTTAACATGATTAAAACTAAATTTAACGGTAGCACCCTGTTTGCCGCTAAAGCAGGCATCTCTCTTGTTAACTATTCAATCAGGCTCCATTCTAATATAATGCATTTTTCTATTACATTTTTTTATTACACATTATTTAATAAAATAATATTATATGTAAACCTAAAATTTGTCATTTTTTCATTAAAATGGAGCTTGAACAAGAGTAAGATAAATATTAAAAATTATTCATCAAAATAGAACTTGTACGATTGGCTGAAAATCTAATTGAACTATTAGGAACAATATCAAGGTAATTTAAAGAGGACTCCAATATAGGAGAGATACTTGGATAGGACGGTCACACTGTCCTACATGGTACGATCGTCTAATAAAGAACAAACACCTCATTAAATGGCCTGTCGCCTCGGGACTTGAGGTGCAAAGAAAGAGAAACTCAGTCGCACCATGTAGGACAATACCAAGTATCTCTTATAGGGGAGTGCAATCTTTAGTAACTGATGTACATTTTATACGCCCAAGATTTTATCTAGACATGAAATTTGCATTGAGACCCCTAAATTGCAAAATATAACGAAAGAAGGCACAAAATTCTGTAATACTGTAAAAGGTTAATATTTCTTTTCTTTTCTTTTTCAAGCTGAATTTTGAAAAACTAATAGTGTAATGCCTCAAAATTTTATTTAATGAAATTATTTGTTCTAGATGCTTTTTAATATAATTTTGGAAGTGTAAGGACTATAGTGAAATAGGTTTTAAATTCTTTATTGTATCAAATAATTATATGTTGATAGAACGAGTTTTGATATATCAATATTGGACTCTTTTTATAACTTGCAATTAATTAGAAATATTTGATTTGAAAAAAAGTTAATTCGAATAAATCTACACTTGTAACAACGTGACCACGACAACCACAATTGCATCAACAACGCCTGTAGCAACCACCTCCACTGTCTCCCCAAAATTTTTAGGGTTTAAGGGGCGGATGGGTTGAGTAGATAGATTAATTTCATTTTATAATATTATTAATTAAAAAATTAATTTATGATTTGACTTTTGTATAAAAAAACTTTCAAATTTTATTTTTGAAAATGAATCTTTAAAAGCAGGGTATGGTATAATTTTCACTAAAACTAATGAACGCATTCTTGGCTGCTAAAAGAAGACCATATTCTTTATTTCAAGAACAAAATTACAAAATCTTGTGGATCAATTGGTCCAAGTCTAACCTGGGCACAAGCAAAGCTAATGATCTAACTCGATATAACGTATTGAAAATTAGAAATAGCCTAAATTGGTATAATAACTTGGATAATTATTTTCTTCATTTCAAGAATTGAATTTTGATACCTATATTTTTGGAAGATATCAATAACTAATTTACATAACAACATGACTGAGAGTTTCAAACAATTGATTGATCACGCAATTCTCTCACAAGACTTTCGACTTTCTTTTGCTCACAAGTGTTAGGATAATGCTCTATCATCTCAGCCGCAAATGAAATTATCGGAACTTTACTAGCTGCTTCTATGTCAATTACACATGCTTGAATGTAGAAGAGTTGGTCGCCTTCCAAATCACTAAGCAGCTCCGTGCGAGCACTTAGCATCATCTACAATAATTTGGACGTTAGGCTTAGCGTTGGTGGTAGCCTGGGGCTCCAAAAGAAGGCTCTTAGTTCGTTGTCATGCATCTGTATGTTGAGCATTTCCGTATGTTTGGCAAAGCTTCTATCAGATTGTAAGCTTTGAGTCCTACTAAACCTATTGATAATAAATGAGCAAAAGTTTGCATCTTGAGTGCCATTTTTAAGCCTCGACTTACCAAGGCACTACAGGGCATAAGCCTCAGAGTGGTTGAGGTGTTCCATTTTCTTGTTCTTTTGTGGGCTTTTTATTTGTCTCGGCTTTTGAGGCCAGGTTATATTTTTTCCACAACCTAGAATGTTACAATGGCCTCTTCGAATATAAACACAATTCCTTCTTGAAGAGAGGGAAAAAAAATGGAGAATTGAACAAATGAAGGGACATGCCCTAGCCTCCTACAATTGAAAATTCTTGAAGGACTTAGAAGTGTCAAAAATAAATGACACATATCCTAAAATTATGTTCTTGTTTACATTGTAAATTGTAAATGATACGCTGTATTCTTTTTATTTTTTATTTTTTAATAGAGAAGAATATCATCAATAAACACTTCACACATTAAAGCATTTTGATGGAAAAAATATAAATAAAATTAGTGTACAAATTGTCTAATGGTACGTGAGAAAATTTCTTTCCTCCAATTCTTCCTGTCCACCAAAAGGTTGTTTGGAGGAACACGTCAACATCCTTATCTATACGTGAGAACAAACTCCCGCAAGTTTTTTGACACGTGTGCAATAATTTCCGACCACATTAAAAAAAGTACATCTTATCTTAAACTTAAAAGAAGTAAAAAAAAAAAAAAAAAAAGTAACTTTAACTGAAATGTTTTGTTTATAAACACGTAAGTAAATTTAACTTCTTTTAAAAATTAATTCAAACAAGCACTTATGTGTTGTTAGTGACAATCTAACTGATTTTACTTTGTTATTGTTATATAATTTCAATGATTTGGACATATCTCGTCTAAGTAAATATATTCTTTTTTTTTTTGGTTGCCTCGGGGCATAGTTCAATGGTGCAAAGGACAGAAGTGAGGTTATCTCACCACTTGTTGACAGCCGCAGTGTGGGAGTTCGATTCCTGAAACATGAAACTGGACTCTTTATAAACGCAGTGTACAAGCAGCTCTTGTTTTCTAGCCTGTTGGGGCACATCCCTAAATTTACCTCCCTCACAAAGTTCTAGGGACGGGACGATGGGAATCCTCAAGATTGGGGTTCAACTTTTTTTTTTTTTAAATATAAATTTTTGTTCATAAAAGTAACATGATTGAAAGAAAAAATCGAGAAATAAATTAAAACAGCACGATATATCGTTATTGTCAAGACTTAATTATTTTAAATATTCCAGAAGATCTAGCAAAACGGGCAAAATGAAACAAAAAAAGAAAAAAAAAAGAAAAGGAATTTCGCCAAACGCACCCTTATTCTCGTGAGTCTCGCAAGAAAGTTCTGGAAAAGAAGACTGTAGAGAAGGACCATTAAATCAATATCGGATGGGTTCGACCCGACCCATTTACCCCTTCTCGAACTCACGAAACATTCTTCAATCATTAACTCGCTTTCCTATCTTCCTCTTCCACCACGAAACTTCTAGAAACAAACTACTACACGGCTGCACCTGCGGTTCGTGTTGTATCTTCAGCTTTCATGCGTTGGTTTGGCTATTGAAGTGTATTGGATTTTTAGTTCGAAGAAATTAAAGCGGGGCTAGCAGTTTCCAAGCACCGGTAAGTAGAGAGATTATTTTCAGATTTGTTTTCGTTCGAACAATTCAATTATTAAGTGTTTCAGTTTTCTTCTTGTTCTTCATGCGTATTTAATGGAATTAAGGACAAATTCGTAACGTCTAAAAATGCTGGTAAACGGTTAATCAGTTCTGAAGCGAATAAAAAAGCTGAAATTTTTGGATTTTTACCTATTTATTATTTGGATTTTTAGGGTCTGGATCTGTTTGAAACGTGGCATGTCGGTAGAGCAGACAGGAGAGTCGACGGCGGCAGGGGGCGGTGGAGTAGGAGAGTCACAGAGGTCTGCTCCTACGCCGTTTTTGACGAAAACCTTTCAACTGGTGGACGATCCGAGCGTCGATGAGTTGATCTCTTGGAATGAAGATGGTACGGCGTTCATAGTGTGGCGGCCGGCTGAATTCGCCAGAGATTTACTGCCTAAATATTTCAAACACAACAACTTCTCGAGCTTTGTTCGTCAACTCAACACCTATGTAAGTCTCTCAAAAAAAAAGGAAAGAAAGAAGCAATTATATGTGAATTTTGTAATTACATTATTTATCATGCAATGAAAACAATTTTAGTCTTTTTATTGTTTTTTTGTTCTGTAGGTTTTAACCATAATTAATCGGGGTGAATTTGCAGGGATTCAAGAAAGTAGGACCGGATCGGTGGGAATTTGTACACGAATGCTTTAGAAAGGGCGACAAGGGACTCCTAAAAGATATTCAACGACGGAAAGTCTCAACCGGTGCAGCAGCAACAGCGGGGACAGCGACGGCAATCGCAGCTAACTCACAGGCAGTGGCGATGGCAGCCTTGATAGTAGGTTCTCCGGCGAACTCTGAAGATGAACAAGTACTCTCTTCCAACTCATCGCCAGCCGCAGCTACGACGGCGCTACGCGCTGGCACAACTGCAGCAGATATTAGAGAAGAAAATGAAAGGTTGAGACAAGAAAATTCACAATTGAGTCAAGAATTGGATCGTTTGAGGAGCTTGTGCAGCAATGTATGCACTCTCATGTCCAATCATAGTTCAGAAATGTCGACGGAGGTAACAGCTTTGGATTTCATGCCGGTTGAAAAAGGATGCGACGACGTAGTGAAGGCGGCGGATGAGGAGGAGGAAATTATTCCGATGATATTTGGGGTTCCAATCGGTGCAAAGCGTGTGAAGAGGGGTGAAGACGAGGAAGGGCAGAATCAAGTGCGCCGGGGCGAGCCAGAATAAAATCTGAGCCGTTCGATCTTGATAGTAGTAAAATCAAAAATGTCTTGGACTTCCATACTCGGATAGTGGTGTGGGGATCACAGTGGATATATAAACCTAAAAGGTATTTGCTTATTTATCCAAAATGGTCTAGAGTTTGGTTATCCATCGTGACTGATGGTCACAATGAGGTCCAAAAGCAGTGTAACGTGTCGAAATTGGGTAAGATGGGCTCACCACTCAACTAATAATTTAATTACTACAAGGGCAGCAAGACATGCCATTATTGATTTGTTTCGAAGTGTTTATAAATAAGTAATATTTGTAGATTTCATAAAATATGCGGACAAAAAATGAATTGACTTTTAGTGGTGAAGATCAGAAAGGGACATAGGGAAATTTGATTTATGTATTTTTATGTACGACTTCTGGGTATGCCTTATTTTGGTCATTGAACTTCATTTTGTTACAAATTTATAACACGACTCTCATTTTCTTTAACCATCGATCACTCTCCTCAAAACTAACATCGATTAAACAAGGATGGCTGAATTATTACGTGGTTAAAATCAAGAATAAAACTGGACGTCCAATTTTATTCTTGATGAGATGTGCTGGACGTCCAGGCCCCTGGACGTCTAGGCGCCTATTTGGCGCCCCCTATTGGGGGGTCACCTGTCACTGTCAGACGACCCCCAATAGGGGGGCGCCTGGACGTCCCACACGTCTCTAAAATCAACTGTTAATTTGGACAAGTTGGGTATTTGTTCTTGTCCAATGTTTGGATTTTATTCTAGTAAAATTGCAGACATGTCCTTAAGTGTCAATTCATTCAATTGGTGTAGCAATTTATCACGCGTGGCCAGCTTGTCTTGGTTAATAGGTGCAGTATTGTGACATAGTAATTATGTCATCCGTGTGTGCCTTGCGTTAGTTTTTACAATTTAAATTGAGAAGTGTAAGGTCATTTTCAACTTTACCTCAAAATTTGAGGTTAGTTTTATATTATTTTACACTAAATTAAAAATCATCTCCAACATATTACATCAAAAGTTATAGCATGTGAAAAGTGTTTAATCATTTTCTTCATTTTTTATTTTTGACAATTTATATATTCGAAAAATTATTTATTTATTTAATTTACTATTACATGAATAATTACAAAAATATTAAATTAATAAAATGTAGTACAATTAATAAAAATATCACAATTAAGAAAATATTAAATCATATCATAATAATAAAAAATGATCAAAGTTTATTACAGACGACGACGACGACGACAATAATAGTAATAATTGTATTACAAAATTATTATATAATAATAATAATTAATTAATAATTAAAATTTGTGTATAATATAAAGTGACATAAATATCCTTAACAACATTTGATGTTAAATGGAAAAAAAAAAAAAAATTGTTTAGATTGCACTCTTTGTCCGCACCGTCCATTTACTTTCGTCTTACGAAAAAAGTACGAGAATAAAAATTAGACGTCACATGAAAAAGTTCCAAAAAAGAGAAGGAAAAAAAAAATATATATATATATATATAAAGCAGAGTAGACTAGTAATCCTTGACGGGGTCCAAGAAAATGGCTCCTTCATATCAATAGTGTCATTTAATAACATAAATTTCAAATTTCCAGCACTCAATTTTCTACAAGAGGAAGTTGCCTTGTAGCCATCTCATAACTAATGAAACCCCCAAGAAATTAACCAGTTCTTCTTTATTCATTCATATATTCATACAAATTCTTTTCACATTCTTGTATCTATTCTAATTCCATCATGCAAAACTATAGCAATCCTTGTTTTGTAGAAATCACCTTGATATCAGCTCAAGATCTCAGAGTAGCCTCTTCGGTTTTCTGCCGTCGCCTCCGGCCATTCATAACCGTCACCACAGCCCAGTACGGTGATAAACAGGTGAAAGTATACAAAACAAAGGTTGATGATAGAGGAGATGTAAATCCCACCTGGGGTGATAAGTTTCAGTTATCACTTGATCAGACTTTTTTTTACCTAAGAAAATCAGGTATTTATCTCCAACTTTACACCAAGCATTTTATGATGGGTAATACTCAACTGGGGTGGTGTTTAATTCCGGTGGCGGATATAGTCGACCGGTTAATTCCGGTGGGGTCGACTCGATTCTTAAGTTATAGGTTAAGGAATAGAGATGGTTCGAGGGGGAATGGGGTTGTGAATATTGCGGTAAAGTTGGAAGGGAACCTTCCTACACAACACCCACCTCAACAGCCGGTGATGATGTCGGAGAAGAATGTGAGTGATGATATGGTGATTGGAATTCCGGCGAATATGTCGCCGGAGAGGAGTGAGTTTTCCCAAGAGCCCTTTTCTACGGGTAGGAACTTACTCGATAGTGTGAGAGTTGAAATTAAGCCGACTAAGAATTTTGCTACTTTAGAATCGATGCAATTTACGGGCAAGACAAGTAAAAGACAAGTGAGAAAGTGAAGGGATCATGAACACGATGTATGGTTGACCAAATCTAATTGCTTGGTGACAAGACCCAAACCTTTATAATGTATCATTGGATAAGAAGAAAGATGCAATGGTCATATGAAGATACCTATTATGTTATATTCCACATGCAAGTTTGACACGTGTACGAGTAGTTGGCTTATTTATTCGAACATTAGTATTTTGCTATCTATGCTACTATTCAAAATATTTAGTACCCTCAAATCATGAGGGGTATAAGATGCAAATATGATTCATTGTATTTTGTTTGCTACAATGTGTGTGTCCCTCTCAATAAAATGAGACAGATTTGAATTAAGGTGAAGAAGTACTTGTGACAATTAGACAGCCTCGATCCGCTTTACTAATGCTTACAATTCTCATTGGGTATAATTGTCGCCTCAAACTTATAGACATTCTGGTACTTTAAGTAATCAACTATACTACACTAACAGAATGGGGAATAACAGACTCTCTGACTGAACACTCACAATAAAGGTGTGTACGACTTTGCTTTTGGATTTTTTTATTCCCGTGAATCCCAATACCATGTGAAAGGATTTGGTCAGATCCGATCAATATCCAATTCATTTACAACCCTAGTTTTAGATTTGTACGTCTTTAACATAAAGAGGTGTGCAAGCGTAACTAGGAATTCAAATGTAAACCTTATATAATATTGGCTCAGATGGTAAGTACGAAATTCTTCAGAAGAATGAGTTGCTAGTTTTTTCTTTACATTATTCTCGGTGATATACTTCACTTCAAACAATTTCTTTTTGTGTAATCATAACTTGACAATGAGTGATTAATCTTCTTTTACTTGGGGCGAAAGATGTAACCTAGTTAAATTATTTAATTTTAGTTTCCAAGTTATGACCCTCATCATGATTTTATGTTGAATTTTTATTGTGGATTTAATTTCTTTTTCATAAATCTGGCCAATTTATGAATTGTTCATGAATTCATGTCAAAACCGAGAGGTAAATCACCAATTTAGTACCATCAGTAAATATCATAAATTCACATAGAAGACAATGATATGCTTCAACTATCTTGATTGGAATTTCTTTTTCTTGAACGCACTTGCATAGATTAAAAATCACATATAGAGATATAGTGAATTTACTTAATTATGTAATTTTAATTTTACTTGAGAAAGATTATCTAAAATTTAAATAAATTTGATCGTCATCACAATTATAATAAAATATTATAGCTTGATTGGCAAAGATAAGTATAATAGTTACGGTGATTCCCAACGTTTTCAAATCATCAAAATATTATTATTTTTATTTTTATTTTTCAAATCTTCGATTGTCGATCACTAAAGAGTAAATAATACTTAAAAAAGTAGCTTAGTGAGAAAAACCCTTTTCTAGATTTTCATATCAATTCAAGTAATGGAGGATTACATAACACGATACTCTACTCATTTTTGAAAAGGATTTTTAACTCGATTGTTTTATCAAATTGGTCGAGCTAATTTTATCGACTTCGTTGACATTATTCTAAAAGAATGCCCGCTCGTTGATTCAGTTCCTATTCCCATCGAGAAGTACTCACCACATGATATTACGCCAAAGAAAGAATAAACCAGAGCAAAAGTCACAAAAAAGTACATGTTGGGACTGCAATACAGTAACAAATATACCAAAAGGATGATGAAAATGATACATTAAAATATATGAAGCAACTAAAAACAAGGTTATCTTGATCTCTCACAAGAAGAAAAAACTAGTTTAGGCCCAAACTGATTTGACAGCTTTACCTATAGATGTTAAATGCGTTCTAAAAGAACAAAATTCCTCCATCTCTGAACACAGCGCAATGCCTGCCGGAAGTAGCAATGTGCTTCTAAATGTACATGGAATGATGCTGTCACATATCCAGTCAATGCATGTTTGGCATCTAGTACTAGATCGTACTGGACAATATAGTACCAAAATTTTAACTTATTTTTTCTAATTAATTAATATTGTCCAGTAGGATCTGAGGCCCGGATCCAGCACTTCATTATCATTAAAAAATGGAAACAGGCAGAACTTCTTCAATCCACCATTCCAAACATGCCATCTGAATATTATCCATTGTCTCCCTAAGAGGAGTCAATAACATGAAATGCTTTAGACTCTCAATGTAACATGTTAATCACCATGCTGCATGTTTTATTTCAGATGTCGCTTCTTGAAATCTCTTTTTTATAGATTTGAAGCTGCTATGACTTTTCTCGGACCAACGAAATGATGCACTGCGCTTTATGAGATCAGCAACAAGAGGAGAACTCGCACTGAAATCCTCCTGCAGATTCTCGTCATACTCTGCACTCAGATCAATGGAAGTTAAGTAGCATTAACAGGAACTTACATTGGTCGATGCAAAAACTAAAGAACAGGTCCATAAGAAATGAGAAGGGATCCCTTGTAAAATTTTCATGTTACTCCAGGAAATGCAGAAAAGCACAAGGGGAAAAGTAAATTCTCAGATCCCACCAGACAGGCAAAATCAAAGAAACCAATAGGTACCTGAAGATGAAGGAAGCTGATAATGTCTTTTTAAGAACTTAGAGGCTTCTCTATCTTTCTTATGGCATAATACCCGTATTAAAGTGTGAGCATCTCCCAAATACCGCTGGCCATAGTTACGACCATTGGCCCCCGCTGAAATATGTTCGCTGGATGTCATCAGCATCTGGATCACAGATTCAGTCTGTCCCATCATGTCAGAAAAGAGAAAAAAGTATCAACATAAATGTTAATCTGAACTCACTGATTTGGACTCAGAGTAAACTTCCAAGTGTGGGACATCATACCTGAAGGGAAAACAGGCTCAGGATTTGATGAGAAAATTTTGCTTCCTCCTCAACCAATGAACGAGGAAGACCTTCTCCATCAGCTACAAACAAGTCCTAGAAAGATGAAGAACGAGCATGTTGTTTAGTATCATCATGAGCTTTCTCAAAATATTGGAGAACATAAGATGTCATTTCGGAGCTTATGGAAGGTAAAGGCTCTCCAATAAGTTAATGGTTATTTGCGAGCAAAAAGAGCAGAGAATACATAGGAAACTCATATGTCTGCCAGTACTGAATTAATCTACTGATAAGGACTTCCTATGTCATATATAATTTGAAATTTTAATAATGAATTTCATACTTGTCAACTTTAAAGTAATGACAGTTTAGAAGAAGACATTATGCACTATAGTACATCCGACAAGGGAACTAAGAGAGGAGGAAACACGACAGCGATCAACAAGAAAACTTGATACTGTAAGACCCTGTGAGGGGTACGTAATGAGGAGCCACAGCATATAATCAGTAGCGTACTTTTAATATGTTAAGATCTTCTTCTATCATTGAAATATCTGAATCAGAAAATGCACGTGAAGGGCCTCCATCTAGCAACACCCACACAAATCCTTCCTACACAAAAACTACATAAAATCAGAAGCAAACAAGAGAAGGAAATTATATGATACTATTTTAAGACACAATCATACCAGTGATGCCTTAAAAATGCTCGACACCACGAGATCTCTAATTGTATCATCAATCAAACCACTTACGGTATTGAGGGCCTGCAAATATTACACTCCACATCATACAGGTTGCCAGTAAACACAAAGTACACGCACACACACATATATTGTTCCTGTGAAGTTTGCATCGTGTTAAGTGAAATGCATCAGGGGTCTTTTTAATTAAAAATTTATTATAAAAAGGGAACTTCACAGGACAGCAGTAAGATCAGCAATGTTATAGGAACTATATGATTTACTACAATTGATCGTCATTAACATAAATTGAGCATAGTTGAGATCAAATGTTAATCAAAACAAGGAGGAATAGATAAAGAACCAAGCAAATTTGTCAATTATTCAAAGCAGTAACATTGAAGATACAATGCAGGAGAAAATATTAATGATGATATCTGAAGGAAGAGAACTAGGGCAGCAAGCAATGAAAAACTGAACCAGAACTTTTTTGAAACCGTCCATTTGGTGTCATGTGGACCCGTTAGCGAAACGGTTTTGAAATAAGCCAAACAGTTGTAAGATGGTTTTTTTAGGATTCAGAATTTTAACGGTGGTTTGAGACAAACAAGACAGTTTGAAATTGTAAAAAAATAATAATAATAAACAAGTAAACAAATAAAGTTTTTCCTGAAGTTTGACTAATAAATTACAATCCCAACATCCAAAATAATATATAACACAAAAATGAGTAATTTGGTCAATTGTCAATTACCGAATACCAATAATTAGTTAATTACCTTAACATCACAATCCCCAGCGTTGAGATTTCTTTGATTTTGTTGGTGTTCATGTTTTTACGCATTTTGAGGGATCCAAAAATACTACCCACTTATCCATCACTTATTTCTATATATCTATAATTAAACCGTTCATAAACACTTCCCAAACATGCTTTTTACATTTTAGTTTGATATATACAGGATTTTTTGGTATTCCCAATAAAATGTGAATATATTTTATAATCCTTGAACTAGTGACAATGAAGTGAGTAGGAAGAAAAAATATATGACCAAACTGTGGTTTAAAATCGGACCAAACCGTTATGTTCAGGTTTTAGAAAATCTCAAACCATTTCAAACGGTTTGGTTTAGGTTTGGATATTTCTCAAACCATTTAAAACTGTATGGTTTGAAAATCTGTTCAAATGACAATGAAATGAGTAGGAAGAAAAAATATATGACCAAACTGTGGTTTAAAATCGAACCAAATCGTTAGGTTCAAGTTTTAGAAAATCTCAAACCATTTTAAATGGTTTGGTTTAAGTTTGGATATTTCTCAAACCATTTAAAACTGTATGGTTTGAAAATCTGTTCAAAACCCATCCAAACTGGACTGCATATACCCCCCTAAAAAGAACCTAAAGTCACATTGGGCATTAAAGGGAATTGAGACTTGTTAGTTTAACTTTCAGGAATGGCCATTTAAAGAGCTTAAGAGAAAACAAGATCCAGACATAGAACAGAGATTATTAGAAAAATCTTACACTGTCAAATTGTGGAAGTATCCCATCTAACCGATTTCCTTCAACACCACCACGATATAAATGAAACAGGAACGAATCTCTTAGATCCAAGAACACAAATCTAGCTCCTAGAAGTCCAACAAAAAATTAGGCCACTGTTACATGAGCATAAAGTTCAATGCATTAAATAAGTCAATAAAAATGTAACATGTATAATTTTCACACACTGCATCACGGTGCTTTTTTTTTCCTTTTTTTTTTTGCAAGTGCTACTCCTAGTAATTATCTTTGAGAGCTTGGCACACAAGCTTTACAAAGGGAAAACGCCTATAAGCAGCCAAGCAACATAATGAATTACAGCTTTGGCCGTAGAACCTACCAAATAAATGCCCGGACCTGTGACCTAAGGTTCATCTCTAGTAAAGTTTTTTGCCATCGTGTATGTGTTAGAATATAATGGGAAAAATTAAGAGTAAGCCATAAAAGAAATACATCTAAAAGCACGAAAATAAAAGAGAAGAGGAGGAAACAAGCAGCATCAGAATACCATTAAGCAGTTAAAAAAATTTCACTTTATCAGGTCTAAAAGGATAACTGATCGTCAAAGGTTAATTTACTTACCTAGAAAGTCACACGTCTGTCTGATAGCATCAGCAGCAGAATCCCTAATGCACTCCAATGTGGCAACAAAAAGCTCAGCAACTGATTCGTTATCCAATTCTAATGTTGTCTCAATAGTTTGCTCTGTTGCTGAATGAGATGGAAAGTAATATTAAAAAAGAGAGAGAAAAATCATTGTTTCCTTATAGTTTTATCAAGAGATGTGCCTGAGAATGATGTCAGACTCCCATGCACTGTAAAGATTTGCAGCATCAGTGATTGTTTTGATAATTCATGTACCTATTTACAACCTCTGAAAGGTAAAATGTTGATTTTTCAAGTCAGTTTCTAAGCTCCATTTTCATTTTAGTTTCTGTTTTCAGTGAAACAATTCTAATTTGCTATGGCAGATTTCATTTTAAAAAATAGGTTATGCAATTCAAAAGATGACCCGAGATGCCAAAGAAATTTCCCAAAATAATTAGAATAAGCATATAAGTTGTTCGTTCAACTAAAGCACTCAACCAACCTCATGTTAGTTTCACCATTTCACTTAATCAAGGTGGGTTACATCTGCTTCTACACGTACCGAAAACAGAATACACAAGTATTTGTCAGATTTATTTATGAGCTGGAGTTTCTAGAGAACCAAGAATAAGAGAACGTCATAGGAGCATAATCAACTTTGCTTGTTACAATGTATTTGGGATGCGAGAGACGAAAGAGATTTTGAGAGTATTCAAGCCTTGTAGAGAATGAAATTACATTTTTGCAAATTATATTTCTTGGATCAGGGAGCCTTCTTGGGTCAATATACAATTAATTAGATGATTTCTGCATGATATCTTTGTATAGATTGATATTCCTAATTTTTATTTCATAAGCACATGCCCTTGCAGAAACATCAAGGGAATGATCTCATAGAAAAAAAGGGTTATAATTTGCTTGGTGAATCCTCCATTACATGCTTACAATCCTAAATAACTTACAGCATCTATTGTTTTTATAAACTCTGACAGATTCCCACGACTTCCTAATGCCATCTTCAAGTACGGCAGTTTGTTTTTGAATGTACTGCAAGAACAAAGAAAAAAGGATCTGTAGAGATTAGTAAAAGCATAAAATTTAATTTATACACAACCAAAATTGAGAGCTTAAAACATAGAGAATACATGTTAAATTATTTTTTCAATAGCAGGTGGCTACTAGGAATCTGTTTCCCTCCCCATTCTAAATCCTGCCTTAATAAAAAATGTTAAGACAAAGGGTGACCCAAGTTGAGGAGCACTAGGAATTCCACTGGAGTGTAAAGTAAAAATCACTTCAAGATTTAGGTTTTTTGCCTTTTGGAATTATCCTTGAAGTTCGTTCGATTGTATATTTATATTCGATCTAGATTCTCGCTAACCCTACATACCCTATTTTACTTAAAATTGGAAAGGCGGTCATTCAATACCTAAAATTCATCTCTTCAGATACGATGAGTCCACTGTCAAAATCATTGGGCTACTTCGTAATTTAGTCGGTTGAACAGGTGCTACTTATGCAACATACTTCTTTACATTTACTTTAAGCCCCAAGTCGTATCTCTTTCCCTCCAAAAAAAGGTTCAGGTGTCGGAATAATTATCAATTATGCTTCCTGCAGAAAATCTGAAATTTATTTTAACAAGACGCTTATTCATTTCTCTCTAATAAATACAATATTAAAAAAGCATTTGGCTACAGTAGTTTTGTAAGGGTAACATGAGAAACAAGTTTCAGATTCAATTAAAATTGTAAAAGATCTTATAGTTGGCAAAAAAGTTAGTAGAACCTACTGATTTATATTCACAGAAATTATTTATGGACAAAAATAGACGAAAACCTTCACTTACTCGAAAAGTGTTTAGTCTGATACACAGGGTGGGAGTAGTCAATTCATTCAACTTCTTATTTATTTCATTGTCAAGAATCAAATGCTCTCCCAGCTTTTTCTTGACAATAGGAAATGTCGTCTCCTTGTAACGAGTCAAAGGAGGAGTAGAAGGATACAAATTTCGCTTATCAACTGCACTTAAAAAATGCAAAGCTGTTAACAACTTAGTTAGGCTGTCTTGAACCAAACATTCTTCCTATGAGTTCAGTTTTATACGTCAATGAGCCCTCGCTATAAAGAATTCAAGTGTTTTCAGTCCAAAACCAGGGTTTTTCTAAACACACTGTAGGAGTCCACTTAGTAAACAAAGCCTTCTGCAGGAAACATGTTATTGAGATAAATTAAAGAATGAAAAGGGAAAACCTGAGAAATAATGAGTTATAACTCTCCTGCCACGCAAATATGAAGTGCAATAAACTATTTGTGGAAAACTTCTAAATGAGATATCGTCTTCAAATGACAACCATGGAATACCAAAAATCTGGTAATCATTACTTTAGCTTCCTATTTCCATTGTTCACCCATAATTCAAGAAATCTATAGACTTGAACTCCAAACTGTAAAATGATAAGGTTAAAATCATATGAAGGTAATGATCCACAATGTGTGCTGTTTCGAGACCCTGCAAACAACTCTTAAAGCAAAATCTAATTCAGTCTATTGGCATCTCTGATGGAATCAACTTCAAAACAATTGGTCTTAGCTGGGATGCACAGAGGAAAACCAAATAATCAACACAAACATATGATAATGGAAGACAGAGATACCAGACCAATCGAATTGTGCATGTTAGAACACTCATACATTGATACAGACTCTTTTAACCAGGTCCAAGAATTCATATCATATCCTTTTCTATAAATCCTTTTAGGACCAGCATTCGTACTATGGAAAGGCTATTACAATCATTTTACTGAATGGAACAAAATATGATTTGCAATGACTTCAGATGACTGATAGTCCATAAAGTAAATTTGATTTAATGTTGGGGTACCATTATAATGGGTGCATGGAAGTTGCCATGAAAATTCAAGAACTCCCAGGAATAGCACCACCTCCACAAACTTGGCCACACCAGACACTAACATGGCAGAATTTAACGACCATCACATTCTTCATCACATGTACAAACTCATAGGGAAAAGAAATGTACTGCTATAAATTCAATTTGATGACCTGGCAAGATGGAAGCATCACCAGCCTCATTCATTAAAAAATGGGGGCAAGAACTTCGATTTGACTAATTGTGTACAAGTTAGTTATTAGCATATATACCAGCAAGTGCCAATGGACGTGCACAAAAGAATCAAAAAGCACATGCTGAGCAGATCTCAGAAGGTCCTTACCTAACTGGCTAACCACTTTCACCAAATAGGCATCCAAGCAGTGGAAAATGATAGACAGTAGAGCTTGCAAGTGTGTGATGTCGAGTAGAAGGCTCATCTCAAAAAATTGATCAACAGTCTGCAAAATATTCAGATATTGGACCCACAGATTCAATTAAAAAATCCATCAAATAATTATCTAATAAATAAAAGAAAAAGCAAAATGCCCAACTAGAAGTACTTGAGATACTAGTATACAGGTAAGTACCATAGAGATTGACTGAAGATAATAAGAATACACCTTGGCAAAGCTTACACAAGAATAAAAGTTGACAAGAAAGCTAATTTGCAAAGAAACTCATGCCTCAGGCCAACTTAAAATCAGCCAGATGTGGATTTAGGATAGATACATAGAAAATAAATATACAGCTATGGTTAAATCGCTCATCTGGTTTTACCAAGAGCAATAATAACACGAAACAAAGAAAATTGAAAGCAAGTAAGAAGACAAAATTTAGAGCGGTTGACTCTGAATGCAAGAGCTATGTCCTCTTACCACTAAAAGTTCACTATGTCGAAGAAGGAGAATTACAATGTGTTGTATGTGAACACACGACACCACAAAAGATAGGAGGAAAAGTAGGGCGACCTAATTCATGTGCAAACTTCCCAAATTATCTCAATTTCACTTAAAAGTGGGGAAGGTATACAATATAATTAGGCTCCAAATGTAAAACATATACAAGTGCAGTTCATTTTCAGCATCCTATAACAAAATGAAATACAATTGTATTACACAAATATCAAATAGCAAACTAATACGTAACACTATTTTGTAATCGTAAAATCTCATTTATTCTCCTTTTCTTTTTTTCTTGTTTTCCATAAGAAACATAATTAATAATTTTATTAACCAGGATATAAAAGTACCATACATCAAGGAAACATGGAGTCCACGCATAAGCAAACAATTTTAAAAATAGACTCAGTAGAACATCACATTGTTCAACTAAGGGAAAGCAAAGATAAAACCCATAAAGATGCCAAAAACTCTGCTTGCTCTTATAAATCTTCAAGTTATTATTTTTTCCTCAAAAATTCTATGGTTCCTCTCTGCCCAAATTATTAAATAATAATAAAAAAAAACAAAAAACAAAAAAAAACACAGGTCCGCAGCTCTCACACAACACAGCCCAACTTTCCCGTGCTAAAACTAATAAGTTTTTCAATAAATATCTTGATACACCTTTCAGGAAAAACCAAGTTCCCTTAAGAAGCCACCACAAAAATATAACATCACATGCGTTAGAATAAGTGATGAATATACTATTTGTTGTCCTCCAACAACACACACCAAGAAAGAGAGAAATAAATGAGGGCATTTTCTTTCAACTATCAAAGGTATTAATCCTAGCAAAACACCTTAATCCAGTTAGTATGCAAGATTTCCAGAAGAAAAGTAAAGGGAAAGGGTTCAAATAATGGAGAACTAGGCAAAGTTAATAAAAGCTAGGAAATTGGATTTACAAGAAATACTCTGGAGGACTCCAACTTCCACAACCAAATTAGAAAATGAGGCTTAAGAGGAACACTCTCAGTGATGGATAATAAAGAATATAAATAAGTTATCTAATAAGTTTTTCAATAAATATCTTGATACACCTTTCAGGAAAAACCAAGTTCCCTTAAGAAGCCACCACAAAACTATAACATCACATGCGTTAGAATAAGTGATGAATATACTATTTGTTGTCCTCCAACAACACACACCAAGAAAGAGAGAAATAAATGAGGGCATTTTCTTTCAACTATCAAAGATATTAATCCTAGCAAAACACCTTAATCCAGTTAGTATGCAAGATTTCCAGAAGAAAAGTAAAGGGAAAGGGTTCAAATAATGGAGAACTAGGCAAAGTTAATAAAAGCTAGGAAATTGGATTTACAAGAAATACTCTGGAGGACTCCAACTTCCACAACCAAATTAGAAAATGAGGCTTAAGAGGAACACTCTCAGTGATGGATAATAAAGAATATAACTAAGTTATCTTGCTAATCCTAAATCTAGACCAAATTGGAAATTCCAAGCAATAGAAATGTTTTTAGAAACAGAACAAATTTAATAGGAAAATTTTTAATGCAGAAACCTTATACCGTAGGAAGGATAAAGCCAATGTAGCAACAGTGATCCCTCTAGACATCTTCCTAGAATTTGATTTCGTTTCCCATCCCTAATCCGAATGGGGGAAAAAAAACAACTTCCAGATTTTTTAGAAGAGCTCTCACTACCATATTAGAACTCCAACCATTTGGACATTCCATATTCACTCTTCACAGCCCTTTCCCATAAAGAAAATGGCTTCAAAGGGAATCTCGATAACCACTTTCCAATAGTGGCAGGTTTTCAACATCAAATTACCAGACACTGTCCCATTCTCCCCTGCCTTCCCATAAAAATCTCTGGATAATTCTTTGTACAGGCAGAGAAACCTTATGAGACATCTTAAAATTTGACATATAATAAATTGGGATGCTAGAGACAACAGATTGACTGGGAACAAGTCCACCCGTTCTAGACAAGATATTTTTCTTCCACCATTCCAAATCTTTACGTGAATTGTTTAACATGAAAAATAGAAGAATTAATTCCAAACTGAAGAAAGAATAGAATAGCGTTGATCAAATTATTCACTCTAGAGTCTGATAGATCTTTTAAGGAGCGTATTTGTCACAGTCTCAATCAATAATAACCAGAAGTCATGAGACAAAAAATTACCACACAACAGAAAGTCCAGGTGTTCGAAGGCCAAAAATCAACTGAATAACCAATCCTAGATGCCAAATTTAAACCAAGTACTACCCAACATTAATCCCCTTCTCCATAGTTTTACTTGATACGAACATGAAAATATTAAAGATTCCTGCAAGGGTGTGAAAATGAGCCTCCAAACCTTTCAAACAGAACAAAGTATCATATGTAAATTGTAGTGAGAGACAGGCACGTTATCATTTAATATTTCAAATTCTTCCAAGAAAGCCTCCTCCATCCCCTCCACAGCTCCCCTTGACTACATATGACATCTATCACTATTGTAAAAAAAGTGACAAGGGATCACCTTGATTCTACCCTCTTGAAGCTCAGAATTTATCACTCTGTTTGCTACAGATAATGATCAAAATTGGAAATATCAAGAAACAATACGAGTGGAATATTAGAGCTTTCAGAAACTTCTATGGGGTGTAATGCATCTAGAATAGCATGAGAAGTGGGACACTTGTGCAACTTTGAGACAACCCCCAGAATCATCTGTGATACTTGTTTGAGAATGCAGGAAACGAAATAATGGATAGAAAGACAATTAATCGATTGATGGGTCCCTAGCGCAATAGAAATCATTTCTCATAGCGTGTCGAATCAATAGCGTTTATTGAATTTATACCTCATGAACATTTATGAAGTTGAAAGCATAAGTTGCATTACAGCAGCTACGCTACACATACCTCCTCTATGATCCTAAACACTTCAACTGCTGAAGCTGCTTGTTTTTGCTGAGAAGATAAAGGTTCCCAGTCCTGTAATATGGCAATATAAATGAAATAGTAAGCTAAAATACATTTATAGATTATTGAACCCTTGAAGAAATATATAGCATGTGAAAACAGCTGAACCGTTTAACATCTTCTCGTCATGATACACAAGACCATAATGATTACATAGGTTCCAAACACTACTGCTCTATGTTTTAAGGTTTTCAGTGACAAACTGTAAGGAGACCTAGAAGCAAACCTCCCAACCATGTTGGAATATATTTTGCGAATTTGCCAGAACATAACACAGACAAAATTGCAGGTAGCAGAATTCCATGTATGAGACAAACCTCAAGGTCAAAAGCACGTCCAGTCCATTCCAGGATTCGTTCATGTTGAGCAACTACCCAGTCAAGAATTATTGACCTGGAAATTTCATCGATCTGGAGAGAGGAGCGAAGGAGAATGAACAGACAGCATATCAAGAACAGGTCATGAACAAGGTGAAGCAGTAACGGGGAGCATTTACATGATTTAAAAACTCACTGTTCCATTGTTGAATAAAAATTTGTGCCTTACTTTGGATGTTTGCCCAATTTTAGCATTCAATAAATCATCACCGCTTAACAATCTTAATAAGAACTTGACAGCAAATTTAGCCACCGTTTGTCTCCCAATTTTTCCTCATTAAAATGAAAAATATGACCGTTATCCATCACATCAAACCATCGAATTTGAATTTCTATCTCTTGTGTGAGGTCCATAACGACTATATTTTTCATTCTCATTCTTACAAAAATGGGCCATAAACAGAAGTTTCTTGCATTCTGGAATTTTTCAGCCGCCTGGTGCTTTTGAGATGTTTTTCTCTTAGATGTGCATCTAGGTTCTTTTAAAAACTAAGCTTAAGCCACTGGAAAAATAAACTAAAAAATGAATAAAACTAAGTAAATACAAATGCCAACTAAAATGCACTTACATCAGCTTTATTTTAAAAAAAAAAATTCTAAAATTCATCACAAATGTTAACACAAAGTTTAAATTAGAGTTGTAAACTCTAAATACCCTGCTCTTATGCAAACAGCAAGCTGTAGCTTTAAGCAGGAACAAGCAATATAGACACTAGTGTGTCTGTTTTTTGTGAGTTGTTAAAAGGGATTCATGGCCAAAAAATAGAGCTGCAGAACGAGGTAAAATTTCTGAGGCACAAAATCAAAAAGTTCATAGTAAATCCACTCCATTGACAATAGGAGTAAAACAGAAGAGAATGCTATCCAGTCCCAAAGATATCCGAACCTGGTAATGGTCAAATTCTTGGCCATGCAAAAAGTGCAACTCTCTTTCTTTACAAGCAGAAGAATAAAGCTTAATAAGGCAATGCTCCAATGCATATGCTGCAGGAAGCACTTTCCTCACATCTTGAGTAAGGCATGTCACATCCTTGAGGAAAGGTTTCTGAAGAGCAAAGAATGAACTTGAATCAGTATATAACCAACTGCAAAGAGCTAGAGAAGACATAAATAGATTTTCACTCAAACCAGACCAGTTTTCCACCATAAAACTGGTGCAGTCNAGAATTGCATAATCCAATAATGTCACTTCTTCTGTAGCAGCAAACTTCCATTATGAAGAAAATGCATTAGAAATAATATAAAGGCTTGCATTGTATGTACAATATGAGTTGAATCATTGCACCTATAAAGAGAAATCTGAATATATCCATAATATAAATGGGCCAAACCAGAACACATTCTTCCAGGCGGATAAAAAGGAGGTAAGGAAAAGGAAAAGAATAGTAATAGAGAGTGCAAAAATGAGATATTTCTATTAGAAGAAAAACTTAAAACTAAGAGAGATGTCATAAACCATAAAATAACTCCAAATTCACAAAGAAAGCGGCTCACGTTGCCAACAAGAAGGAAGCTACATTTCCAAGCAATTGACCTTGTACACAGTTGATCTAGAAATCTCTTCAACCATAGCATAATGGTAATCATTTCAAATTCATGCACAATGTTTTATCCGCATAAAATATACAATTATTTAGAATCTGGTCATCAAAATGTTGTAGGCATTAAAGCCTGTTGGGAAATGCTGTCACATTTCGTTTTCTGGTTCCTAACATGACCAATCCCGTCATGACATGGCAGAATACCTGATTGTTTGCCCATTTTTCAGGAACATTCTCTGACAAGCAAATGGTGAAGTGCTGAAAAAGGAATATGTATCTTCGAGGTGTTCAGTATTTCCATCAAAAGCACAGTTATCAAAATTTTCTTCTCAAGCAGGGCAACGAACACAACCTTCAGTTTAAAAAGATCTGAGTCCACGTGTAGTAAAAACCAAAAGCACTAGATTCAAACATGTTTCTACATCATCCTCAAATGCTCCTAATGACCTCTACTAAGTCTAATAAGTCCTCTTATTAAAATGAAACAACATAACGACTTATGAAATTATCGAGTATTAACAAACTACATTGCAATTTAAACTGCTACACACAATGTATACCTGCTGAAACAGCACCCATGCAAATAATGCATGATGCAGTCTAAGTGTAATACCCAACATCGACCAGGTCAACTTCACGAAGTTTAGAATTTCATCCGCTTCCTGATACAGAACCAAAATGACTACCATCAAAGCTTTGACAAATATATACTAATATCTTTTTTTATTGCTTGAAGTTTGTTCGTATAAATGCAGTTAAGAAAACACAAACACCTCCACAAGCTGGCCATCCTCGAGAATGTCAAATACACCAAAGAGTAACTTCTCATAAAGCCTAATGTTCAAATGATAACCAGTGGTCCAATGGTAAGTTTCTCCTTCAATGCCAAAACGTGCAGGCATTGATGAGAACATCAGAGCAACTTGTCTGATGGTTAATAGGACTTCACTGCGTTCAGAAGGAGATGTCTTCTCATCCCATTCCTAGATCATATTAAATTCAAGTAGTCTAATCAGTCAAAATCGGAGTTTAGGTTATCAAACCTGGCAAACAGGAAAGAGATACCTTTGAGTCTCGAACTTTTGCAAGTGAAGTTCCAATTATCTGCTTCTCAGACTTCTTGTAATCAGAAAAAAGTAGTTCTTCTATAATATTTGCCTATAATAACACCATTGAAAGATAGTCACTAGCTGAAACATTTCAATCATCGGTGAATTTCGATACTAAATACTAGGTAAATGAAAAGAAGATGTTTTGGAGTTTAATAAGTTCAAGAGATTTTTAGTAAATTTTTAGAAAATACCTTGTAATTTTGCATAAATATAAGTAATCCATTTTATATACACGTGAACAGTTCAAACTATTAACTCCAACTTTTGTGTACTTTCCTTTCAAGCATATATAGTTCTGTACTCTCCACTAGAACTAAAGATGATTCTAACTCAGTTGATAGCACAGATCCCATTAAGAGTATCACAGCATAAATTATTGTAAAGGATCTCTTCACCAGTTTACTCCAGCCCTTTTTCGCTGATCTATGATTCTCAGTTGTTAGAAATATGTCCTTTAAACGTGTTGAGTTCAACCTGCTGATTCTCATCCTTCCACAACTCACCAGATTAATGATTAGGCACGTATGTCACATTAAATTGCAGCCATTTCCATCATCTTGTCGTCACTTCAAAGTTAATAGATACATCACCTAATGATTATCTTTCTCATTTAATTTCAGAACTCGCAGGAGCTAAATCTATCTTGTGTATACAAAATTCTTTAAATGGAAAAGTTGTTTTCCTTACATCAAGCATAAAAATCATTCTCATAGGTATAAAATTGAGAAAAAGATGAAGGAACTGTTCTTAGCTATAAGATGGCATAAAGATCAGCCAATCAAAAACAACAAATAATTTAAGTAGAACTCAAACAAAAATAAATTGCCTGAAAAACTAAAGGGAAACATATAGAGCAAAAGTAACAATAAATTACTTGTCTATTCTTCCAGTTGATATATGATTTCTCACTCGGAAAATCAGATTTTGATATGCCAGTCAACAGCACCAATGAGAGTTGTGGAACATCTAGTTGCCCCCAAGGCTTCCCTGAAGCAAACTGTGTCAACCTTCGCTTAACAAAGGTATCCGTTGATTCTGAAACCTAAAAAAAAAATTGACGAAGTCAGTTACTTTTTATCATATGAATAAATGTTACTATGCTATGCTCTTTAACTAAAGCGAAAGAAAATATCAAGTGTGAGATTCCATCTGGAAAATTCCAAGAGAAATTTTAAAAGAGGAGAAATTTTGTAGAAACTAAAAATCTAGACAAGATGATGATAACAAAAATTAACTCAAGCCATACAAGAAAAATACAAGTCTGTGAAAGTTGGATGGATGGAAGAATATGCTTCTCATATATAGCCCTTGTTTGAGCCCCATTATTTGGTGTTACTAGATTTTGGAATTGTGATTTTTGGGAGAATGTATGGTTAAAAAGTAAGGAAAAACATTTTATTGTGTGAATGTGTGGTTGAAAATGAGGTTTGAAAAAGATGAGTTTTGGGAAGATAGGGATCAAACAAGGGCATAATTTGGCTGCACTATGGATACAAATTTTATGAATACCTCACATGGTCACATTATGTTTAGCATCAGTCAATTAAACAATAAATCTGAACATAATGATAGTGAGAATATTTCTGTAATAAAATGGCGAGAATCTGATGAGATTGACTCAAAAATGGAACACTGGACATTTCGCTCCTTATAAATCCCTGAATAACCTATAGAACTCAGGGTACATCTTGATTTCCTTTAAAACGAGACTCTTTGAAGTTCAACCATTTCATCATAATCTACTTGCCCCAAAAATGAACCTTTATTCTGTAGTACAGTAATTCGAACCCTAACAACTTTCAATTCATATGAGTAAAAGTATAAATTATTCAAACGTTGACAGACAGGAACCCCATGTTGATCAATGACAGCAGGCTTCAGTCAAGTTCTCCGTTTCATAGTACAGAATTAACTTGATCAACAAATTGATGCCAGGGAAGGCCACTTTTTCCAGAAACCATCAACGTCTTGAGTTATAAGGATCTTTTTCTTATTAAGTTTCCGTTTGTTTTGATGTACAACATTATCGGGAAATATGTTCCATAAAAATCACATCAGCTTGGTTTGCCTGTAATTCCTAAAAACTTTTTACACGTGGGCAAATATTATTCATCAATTTAAGAGATAAGAATTACGACTTGAAACCAAGTCCCCATACACAACAACCATGCCCTCACCTCCACCCACCAGCATCACCTACCACTTGCAAGAAAATAATTTCATACATCTACCACACTGGAAATTAAAACATAAAATCACATAAAACAATGTCCATGAAAAACTATCTTCAATAGATGCAATGAGCCCAACTTGGACCACAAACATGGCATGAGATGTAGTCTCAAGAAATCAGTACTTAAGCCTATATTTCACAATTACTGAGCCAACTCATTCAAGTTGCAACTTAAGGCCGAAACTTCAAAACTTATCAACCAATATTGGGACACAAGTTTCGGTGTTAGAAAAAATACTATCCAAAATAACTACATAAGAATTCAGTAAACTTAGCCCTTGTTTGGGCTTTAAATTTTTCAAAAGTTCATTTTTTCAATACACATTTTCATCCATAGATTCTCCATAAAATAATTTTATATGTAAACTTAAAACGTTTCTTTAATTTTTAAACACACATTCTACAACTTTTTACTATTCCAAAACACATTTTCTTGGAAAAATAAAGCCCAAATGAGGGCTTAATTTCCAATTAATATGCTTCATTACTGTTGCAGAGAATATTTAAATGATATGCAAGTGGCCAGGGACGAATCTAGGCTTCAAGTTCAGCTAGGACGGACCGCGAAAGTTGAATGTTTACTGTCAACGGTCAACGTCCGTGATCGCAAAACATGGTCGTTTATCAATACTTAATTAAATAATATTCAAAACATTGTATGGACTAGATCTAAAAGAACTAGATGTACCACTAGAATTAGAATAAATAGATATGGACTTTCATTTCGATTGAAAAAATCATTCAATAATTTGCAAAAATGCCCTAATATTTTTTCAATTAGAATTGATTAAAAAACAAAGCACACATGGTTGAATTGAAATCCAACATCTTCTCAATTATTATTTTTTTCACTTATCTTAAATTCCTAAACACAAATTCTCAAATGACAAATCAAAACTCATAAATGATATATTATAACTCATAACTCAATGACTCGTACAACATGAATTATTTATCACAACCACAAATTTAAAATTCTCGTTTTAATGCCAAATTGCCAATTAACTCATTGAACATAAATCACTATTCATGAGTCATAAATAAAAAAATAACAACAAAACCAAATTTTGAAAACAATGATTTTTAGAAGTAGAACTATTTTTTTATCCCAAAATAAAATTGTTTTCCAAACTCTTAAAAGAATAAAGAACAATTCTTAGATTGTCCAAAATTGAATTTTATAAAATAAATTGATTAAACATAATGATAAAAGTATCTATATTATGAAGTAATAATTTGAGTGAATAAATTTTTTTAAGGAATTATTTCAAAAAAGAAAATTATAGTTGTTTAGTTATTATTTATTGTAAAAAAAATAAAAAAATAAACAATAAACAAAAAGGTGGACAGATTGGAATTGAACCCCCATACGTTTTACGTACAAAGAACCCCTCTACCACATGAGTTATCCTTGCATGCTGGAGGTTGGTACAATATTTTATTAGTATTTAATTATTGTGGTTAAAAATTAAAAAGCATTGTGCAGGCTAAGGGAATCGAACCTGTGTGTATCTTAATGCAAAGGCATGGACGCGGCCACTCAATCCACAGATCAGTTTTCGTGAATTTTTTGCACAAAATATATATAGATAAAAACTTAACATAAACCTTCACTAAATTTTTCACCGGCCGTGCCGACTCGCCAAGTGCTAGATCCGCCCCTGTAGGTGGCCTATCAAACGAACACCCCCATTTTAATTAATTGTGCATGTGTTAGGCTTTGGTGGAAAAATTGAACCTCGCCTACCAATTAGGGGGCTTATTGAAGACAATATTTAAATGGATATGTGAGTGGTCCTATCTCACAACTTAACACGTATATTAGGCTCCACACCTCCAATAAAAACTCTATAAGACAATCTGTGAGCATTTTAATGGATAAGCTATTGTCCTACGTTTTTTGAGAAGAAGCATTTGTCTTCCCATGTAAAGGAAAGAAAGTAGAAACCACTTGTCTCAAACAATAAATCAATTGAATTTTTCTATATTATGTATCCTTACGTGGGAGAGACTAGAACATTGAGTGAAGCTAAACCCTTGGCACTGACCAACTGTGGGTGCCAATCTTCGTGTTCCAGCCACAGTGCTACATTGATTGATTATCTTTCAAAGTCTAGAATATATGTTTCTTTTCCCAAATTAAAACTTTTCAATGAATAGAGAAACTATCGTTAAACTACACATCTTGCTCTGAATTCAGTTTCAGGTTTTTTTATTGTGAAAGTCTGATTTTATGAACTCAAATAGCTGTATTAGAGAGTACTCGAACAGCTAGATAGTTCCTTTTTACCATTCTTCCACACTTTTAATTGTAATTTTAGAAGAAACTTAAGCTGACATATCATTCTCAATGCTTAACCCACACAACTTTAGGTATCACATCTGTCATCACTGTAAAAGGCACCCATATACACTACCAGTGAAAAGATGTGGTTTCTAAAGCAAGTACTTCAATGGCAAATTTTTCTAGATCTTTAGAGCAAATTTACTATTTCAAGGTTCAATAAAAAAAACTGAACCCATTATAGGGTGACAATAATGCATATTTCATATTGGGATGAAACTTAACCTTTAACCATCTTAAAAAGTGAATTAAAGAGAGGTGGGAGAGATAGACAGAGAAGGAAGGCAAAAACTGATGCCTTATGCCACATATGCATTACAGTTTGGACTTTAATAAAGTATGGTATAACTATTAATATTTAAACTAATGAAGAAAAGAAAAGGGGAGGAAAAATTACAGCAGCATAAAATAGAGATTATGAGCTGGAGCAGGAAAACTTAACAAGACATAAAAAGGCATTAATCATTGATGCAGTATAAGAACACAAAAAGGGCATGTCATAACTTGCCTGCATTTGCAAGCGAATCGTTTCGAGAAGCTTCAAATGCCTATCTGGAGACTCGGACTGTAAATGTCGTTTATCCTTTTTGTTTTTCAAGCCAGCAAGAAATCTAGAACTTTTTTCCCTCTTTTTACCGTCAATGAAGTGAATTTCAAATCTGGGTGAGCAAGAAGCAAAATATTAATAAAGGAACAAGAACAGAGAAAGAGAGATTTGAATATACATCAAAAGAAAAGGTAAAAAGGAAAAGCTATATATACACACACACACACACACACACATATGAACAAATCAAAGACATACATAAAAGCAATCACACGAGCAGAAACTAACATCATGCTAGTTAATATTTTTGGAGGGACTGAAAAGCACAGAGGCACAAGCTAGAGATGGGAGGAAGATATTACCCTGAAAACAGAATACATGCAAGCAATACTTCGTAAGCAAATTCCCGCAAGTCATCATCCACCAATCCTTCACAAAACCTAAAACTATGTATCAGTTTACTCAAGAGATCTAAAATTCATTTAGATTGTTAAGATTGCCAAAATATTGACCTATTATGACTCTTATGACCTTTCGTTATTGTTTTCATTCATATTAATTATGTAAACATTTTTAAAGAGTTCAAAAACCAAGAACAAAGAAAAACAACTTAGCTAGGTAAAAGGGACAAGAATTTGATAGGATTTTTGAGGTCTATATGACTAAAATCTTTTGGAAGGCCAAGTTCAGCAGGACATCCTTGATGGTAGAAGGTAGAATTCTAAGAATCAATAATCATATTTTTACGTAATATTAAGAAACTCCACTTTTTATTTGTATAAAACTTTAAAATCATTAAGCTATCTGGACCTTAGATAATTGTTAAGATTATTAACAATTGTCCTTTGCTGATTTACATATTATAATATAACACTGTTGCAGAATCTATTCTTCGAATCAAATAAATTTCCAGAACTAATATTAGAGGCCTATAGCTATGATTGTTGATCCACTTATTCGACTTTCAAAATTCAGAATTACCTTGGATTTAGGACATATCGTGGTGTAATGTTAAAGAAGAACCAAAAGGAAAAGAACGACAGAAAAAAGAAAAGATAGATGTGTAGCATAGTACACATCCCCCTGCATCTATAAACTAGATGGATAGCATGGAAGCTAATCTTGCTTGTCATATAATCTATTTATATCATTGAGGTGTTTTTCCCATTAAAAACATTGATTGTTTATTATTACATAATTCTGCTGCGATCACTGTGATAAAGTGAAACACAAGGCTCCATTTCTGCAGATATGCAACTGATATCTTTATTTTAAGCAGCCTCACATTTGCTTGCTTATTAGAGATTTTAAAACCACGTGTAATGCAACATGACGATACACGAGTGTTTCACCTTTTGGGAAGCCATATTACCTACTCAGGTAATCTAAAATTCAACAGGGGAGTGTTCGATAATCAGACTTGTGCCTGAGTAGTGAAAGGTGGCATAATCAAATCCACAAACATTATGAAAATCAACAATGTAATTTTTATTTCCATCTTGTTCTAGTGGGGTTGGGGGAGCTCATCATTGAACAGGATAAAGGAAAACATATACCAGTTCTCAGCATTGGTAATCCTACTGTAAGAATATCTGCATTATGCGTGGGACTTAAATTTGGAGATGAGCTAACTTGACAATTCACCCCAATTTCAGGACCAGATAAAGCTACTTGTTCACTGGCCAGATAACTTGATCGGATGGGATGATGCTGGTTGGAGACCACTGGGGGTGCCCGCCTAGGTGGAGATCCAGCCAACTCCGGATCTGAATGAAGAAAAAAAAGATCTCCTGATTGCAAGTGCACCTGCAGAAAATAGAGACAATAAATAACTTTCTTCATCAGAAAGGGAGGAAGCCAAACAAACAGTGAATCCAGCTGAACATAAAGATAAAAATTAAAATCCAGAAATTTTAGGGAGACAAAAAGCACAAATTCCTACGCTCCT